ATCATCTTCTATACATGAAAGCACGGCAAGTATAAGACCCTGTACCACTGGTTTTTTTTGGTGCTGGAAACAAGTGTTAGATTGCCTCTTCGGAAGCAGCATCTTGCCCATTCAGTTACTTAAATTTGTCCTTTTAGATCTGTGAGATCAAATGGTAGTTCATGCTAAATTTGCTAACAGTGACAGCTCGATAGTTTTCCTGTCTTCATTGCTCCGTCATTTAACCTTGGGTGAATTTTTGAGAAAGATGAAGTGGAGGGGAGGAAGGAGAGCAAGAAGAGAAGTTTGCAGGGGATAATAAGAATTATTTTTTCTTAGTCAATTTGTTGTAACTGTTCAAAGATGCCCATGTTTTTGGAGTGTCGTGTGAAGGTCTAGGGTGAGATGCATGAGCAGATATAGCCGAGTCCAACAGAGCTCTGCACTCTATCTCTGTAGGACCTCTGAAGGGTCCCTGCTGCTACCCAGGTATTGGATCTGCAGTAGTGATACCTGCATAATGCATTGCGTCGGTTTGTGCTCGGGTTTCCTTTTTCCTGGTGCTGTTCCCCTCATCCATATTTCTGGGGAACCCTTTTACTTTCCTGTATTGAGTAAATCCAAACAGCCTCTGATTTCAAAACCGCAAATAAATAATAAAAGAGTTTGGGTTGGTTTTTTTTTTTACTATTGAGAAGAATAATTACTGGCATTTTAGAGGTACAAGCAGTCCTTGCTTCTGACTCTGATTTCATTGATAGTATGATGTTTATGCGGAGAAAAGCTACTTTAGGTCATGTTTACGACTTTGTCAAGATCTTCATCTGCTGAGAGCTGGCAAAACCCCGCCAAAGTGAACTGGGCCATGGCACTGCGCTCCGGCTGATGGTGTTTAACTCTCCCTCTGCCCCACCCTCATTTGGCACGGAGAACAGATATGTGATCCAGGATTCAAAAATGAACACGGACCTCTTAAAATCTTTTCTTATTTCTAGCTTTTCCTCAGAATAAATGACTTATTTACTAAATGTACCCCGAAGAGGCAGCTGTAAAAGCCTTTTCATCAAACCATGCTTCTATTCTGCAGTTTTTTCATTAAATAACCTTTTTTTTCCCCTAAAGAAAGCCCCATAGATATTTAGATTTATGCATGGGATAAAAAGAGAGCTTGCATGAAAAATGGCAAATAATGTTGATTAATATAGTAAATGAGTGCCTATAAATATTTTGAGAATGCTAGGGAAAGTAAAAAAGAGATTTTGCAGTTCTTTAATATGCTGTGATATGTGAATCCAGTTCAGTGACACTGAACTTTTGATTAAAATTAGATATTTGCAAATGGCAATAGAGAGGGTCTGAGGAAATCATGTTGCGTTTATGTTTTATTGTTTATTTTTTAAAAGTGATTCTTTGGCTTGGAGATATTTATTCTTATTATTAGACCTAGGCTTATCTCTGAATTTTGTCTCTGAGCAAAGTTTTTTTCTTTTTTTCTTCTCAGTGCAAGTAGAAAAGTAAGTCTTTGAACAAATTTCTTATTTTATGTACAGTAACAATATACTCTGGATTTATTACAACACAAATGAGGCTGAAAATTGTCCTTATATAATGTGTACATGTGCTAATTAGCACTGTATTCCTCTACTGTAGCAAAATCTATGTTTTCAAAACCACAGTTAAAATTCTTTCTAGGTAAATCTACATAAAAAGATTAATGTATTTTTAAGTTTTTTTCTTTTTTTCTTCCCAGTGCAAGTAGAAAAGTAAGTCTTTGAACAAATTTCTTATTTTATGTACAGTAACAATATACTCTGGATTTATTACAACACAAATGAGGCTGAAAATTGTCCTTATATAATGTGTACATGTGCTAATTAGCACTGTATTCCTCTACTGTAGCAAAATCTATGTTTTCAAAACCACAGTTAAAATTCTTTCTAGGGTAAAATACATAAAAAGATTAATGTATTTTTCATTTAATCTCATGAATGTATTTATTTTGATTGCCTATGGACTTATCTGCGTCCTTACTGAACTTAAGAAACATTTCATGTTTCACAAGTCATTTCATACATACTTAAAGGATTGTTAACAAGCTGAGGTTTCTGTTCTCCTGTTAAATGGAGGGAGGGGATATTAAATTAATAGCTCAGGAATCTGTTATTTTGTAAATGTGACTGACTCCCAGAGTGTCTGCTATAAAACCTCATTGTTCTTACAAGCTCTGAAGCATAGCTTTTAAGTTCTCTCTTGCTATAACATTCTGTATTATTTTCTCTCTTGATTCTCTTGATGCTTTTCTTCTGAGTCTACAAATTTGATCAGAATCTTTTAATTAGAAACCACAATGCTATAAATAGTAGTAAATATAAAATTCCTTACATCAAAGAGCAAGCATATAAATAGGATATTCTCATCAATTTTTTTTCAAAAGGCATTCTTCTATTTTGATAGAAATTATTGTTATCTATTCCAGCAAAACTTATTAAAAAGCATCTAAGTGCTTTATGCAGCATACTTCAGAAGTAAGAAACGTATTATGAGGAACTGCATGTTATATCACAATGTATTTTTAATTATCTTTTTTCTTATTTTAATGGGGAAAAATATTAGCCATCATGTTACTATGCTGCTTTCAACACCCAACTAATTATACACAATGTGAGGAAAATGTCTAAAATGCTTCCTTCCAAAATTCTTGTTAGTTTGTTTGTTAAGAAAGTGCGTAGCTTGTAAGTGTTTCACTGGTGGTTAAAATATTTGACCTGTTTGAAATTAAAATCTTCCAAACATATTTAAGGTTACCTACAGTACAGTGCAATGAAGCTCACCATTGATCTGTGATGATAGACATTGGTTGTAGTTTATGTACCTGTATTCCCTGTGGAGATGCTCATTCTTCAGGGCCAGTTTCTGGAGAAGGCTGATCCCCAGCAGAGGTACTGAAGGGACTGTATCAGAAATCATCATTATTTTGTTGTGTTTCTTTGTAATAATAAAGAGTCATATTTGCTACTGATTGCCCATCTCCTCTGTTACTGCAGTGATCCCTAAAGCATAGAGCAGGTGATTTAAAATAATTGGAATCGCATCCCTCTTGGTTTGGCAGGAAGGTTTGCATACCACTTTTGTTTTTCTAGGATTCAAGCTTTTAATATTTGTTTTAGATAAGATATCTTTGTGCTTAGTGATTTGAAATAATCCTTTCCCCTCCATTTACTTTTGATTCCTTACAGATGTTCACTGAGACGCTTAAACTTTGCAATCTTTGACAAAAGCTAGCTCTCCCATAGTTGCACTGGATGCATGGGATGCTTAGTATTTTCTGTAGGGGGGCTTGCGGGGCAGTACACTTTATGTGCCTCTAGAAATTGCATCTGAAAGTACTGCAGCTGATTTCAGAGTTGTTATCGGTATTTTCCTTCTTCAGCTGCATGACATTAAAATTTCAGATCTTTTTGATTGTTTCGGATGCACAGGCACTGCACTCTTCCATTAAGTTGTTGGATTCTCCTTTCCTGGCTCTTGTTCATGTTCTGCATTGAGTGCGTTTCTCCTGGTCTCCAAAAACTCCCCTTTTATGACTCAGTTGTCAGCCGTCGATGTGTCACATCTATGGTTGTTGAAAAAGCCTCGAATTTTCTGAGAAAGTTCCTTGGTTTGAGAACTGAATGACATAACTGATTGTCTTGCTTCAGTGGTTTAGAGGAGCCTTTGCTGTTGTCTTTCTTGTTACTTCTGCTTGAATGAGGTGGTATAGATGGCACAAAAGTACTTACTTCCTTTCTTTGGGTTCTTTTATTGACATATGTCTATGAATCTAAGCTTCCCTTTCAGCTGGCTATTTTACCTATTCACTGAGCAGGCATGTAGATGTGCTTAAAAATAATGTAGGGCCAAGACTTTTTAAAATCCGTGTCTTTATTTTGTGGTTTTTAAGCAGATATTCAGAAGAGTTGTATCCTAAAGAATGTAGTGGCTGGCACTCTTAAGGTGCAGGTTTTTGTTATGCTGAATGAGATCTGTTAGCTGTCATTGAAAAGGAGGATCTGTCTTCCTCTTCATTCTCTCTTGCATGTCCCATCCAGCTTCTTTCCATCACCTCTACTCATGGTGTGACTATATAGTTTATTTGGATCAGCTTATTTGTCTGACAGAAGACGGATCCACTCCAAGTAATGATTAATTTTCTGATGCTGATCTGACTTTCTGGGCAGTCACACGAGCCGACAGGGGAGAGCAGGCGGGAACACGTGACCGGGATGGGGCAGAGCTGTCTGTTTTCGGCAGCAGCCCACAGTATGCAGTGTTGCAGTGTATTGCAACTGCGTATCAGGGTTGAAGGGTCCTTTGAATCTGGAAGGGTTGTGATTTCTGGAAAGGGCTGAGTTTGTCTGGCTATCCAAAATGTGCATCGTGGTATCTCAGTAGGTTTGAGACACACTTGAGATACTCTTGATTGCGCTTGAGCTTAAACTTAATGGTGAGCTTCCTGAGTTTGCACCGCTTGTCTTGGGGGTGGTTACATCTGTGTAATGTTTTTCATCTTAATTTATTAATAGGCATTTTCTCCCTTAAATCCACATTAACAGCTTCTGCCAGGGAATAACTGTGGTCCAGGGTCACCTCAGAAATACATTAGCCTTGTAATTGTTTATCTTAGAGACGTGTTCAAGGGAGGAAATTTCCCAGACCAAATCAATACGATGCAGTATACCTAGCAGTTAAAAACCAAACCAGACCAAACAAAAAAACCCCTAGTCATTTTTGCTCTTATAGTGAATGAGGTGAATACGTTTTAATGACAAATGCTACATTTAGTATATGTACATTTAGAAATTTAAGTTAGGCTTTTTATATTCTTCCTTACTGACGAATTCTCTTTTGGTACCAGCATATGGTCATATAGAAGACTTGGTTATACTGTGTATACAGATATAAATGATGGCATATGTAGCTATGTTGTTAACAAACAGAAGTAATAAAGTGCTGTAAAATGTTAATTATTTAATAATGTAATGATGAAAGGTGAACAGCTGGGCTGCCATTACTCCTTTGATCAGAAAGTGGTTGTTGCGGTGCAGGTAGGTAAATGAAGGTTAGTTAAGGTTAGCAAACATGCTGCAGTGGAACAAGGGAATGACAAAACTAGCGTTGGCCCCTAGTGCCTTACTCGGTTCCTGGCCTGTCACATCCTGTTTATGAGCAGCAGCCTAAAAATTCACATCTAGCAAGAGAAGATGGAATTTAAAAATCATTCAAAGCAAACTCTGCTGCCTGAGAGTTGGAAAAGAAATGCCAATGCTAACGTGATAATTTGTTGATGGTTGGTTTTGCTGTATTTGTGGTTGCGCTAGCTGCTGCAGGCCAGAAACAGCTAAATGGCCGTCCCGCGTGTGGGTGGCTGTACGTGCTGTGGGGGTCCATCGTTGCCTTACAGGTACCAGCCGTCTGTGTCACGGGTCATTTGGGACTAGCTTGAATCCTGTACTTTCAAAAAGGGATCAAAATGGGTGATGTGAGGAAATTACTGAATTACTGCCTTTTTTTTCTTTAGGCTTTTTTGGCTAGAAAGTAGGCTTTTAATATTGATGGTAATTAATCACTGAAATTATTTACCCAGATAAGGTAAACTATGTGTTATATTCAGTTAGTTGGTCAAAGATTATACCTTTGTTCAAAAGAGATGCTCTTAAATCATCCAGAAATTACGAGAAACACTTAGTGAAGACCTGTGGCCTGTGTTACAGAGCAGGTCAGATGTAATGGGAATAGCTGAAAGGATACCTGACTCTGTGAATTATATCTACTGAGAGGCCTTCTAAGAAGCTTTCCAGTTAATACTGCATCCTTCTAAACTGTAATGTAAATATCTGGAATTTTGCAATATCTGGAATCATGCAATTTTGCATGCACGTTCACTGCAGCGGCACAGCTAGACATTTTTATAGAGGGCACTCAGCCTGAGCATCCTCTGGTGAGAGAAGCTGTCTTGACTTTTGGTTTTTTTAAAGGAATCAACTCTTTGTAAATATGTATTCATGGTTGTTGTCTTTATTTATTAATACTCATGCTTATATATGTAGACATAAAAGGAAAATTCTGCTGTAGGGCAACTGAAAAATGTAATAAACAAAAAAGTCATGGTTCCCTCGACTTTCTGTTTCTTTGTTGCTGTTCTTTTCCAGGGAAACTGGTATTCTCAACTCTTCTGGATTTAATGCCTATTGAAAGCCTGCCAGTAGTTTTAGAGAGAGTGAATTTGATGATTCACATTATCCCATCCTGTCCTGTGTTTCCCAGAGTTTTCAATAAATCATTTGTTACAGTTGTACTATCTTGTATTGTGTTTATTTAGAGAAGTGTAGTTTAGAGTTGTAAGTGGTTCTTCAGTGTTTCCTCTTAGATTCCTCTGTCTACATGCTTCAAATCTTAATGTGCAAATTTCAATGGAAAGCAAATAAGAACAAAGTTGAAAGTGCTCCAAAATGTCCGAAAGTAGCTTTTCTTATTAATTAGTTAAATAACAAGGCTGTTCCGTTTCTTGGGAATTTTCAGGTCTAGAAACAACTGTAATGTTTCCATTGGATAGCTGAGTATTTTCTTCCATTACTACTAGAATAAATATTCTATTTCTGGCAGATTGTGAGTTACAAAGTATTCCCATGTTTGTTCTCTGCAGGACTGAATGAAAGCAATTAATTCGGGGAAAATGTATGGCAAAGAGAGAAAGAAAGAGAGAAAGAGAGAAAGAAAGAGAAAGAAAGAAAGAAAAGAAAGAAAAAAGAAAGAAAGAAAAAGAAAGAAAGAGAAAGGAAGAAAAAGAAAGAAAGATGTTTCTCTAGCACCCATTTTTCTTCGGTTTTAGTGACTGCTCAGGGAGTTGGAGTTTTGGGAGCCTTTTGGAGGACAGGACACCTCACAGGGTGGTGAGTCAGAGCTTTACAGAAAATGCAACTAATGATTTTAGCCCATTGCTATCACCTCACTATATGGGCTTAAATGAGAGTCCGTCTGAATGAACAGTTTCTTTCAGGTAATGTCGGTGAGATTTGTGAGTGTGTCCTGGTCTGACCAAACTGATAACGTCTCAGCTGTTCTCCAACAGTCTGTGTCTAGAGTCAGGTTAAGCAATGAGTTACACATTAGCTGGGGGAAGTTTTCCACTTGGGTTTGCTCAGGGTTTTGCCCAGGATGGAAGTTCAAAGAAAAGAGCTGTTTTCTACAGTGTGGATGGGTTAAGATGGGGGCTTACTAAGGCAGAGCATCCCAGTCACAGGTTGTGTTGTTGGGAATTCTTGAAGCCTCATAGATTCAGAAAACAGATGTCTTATTCATTATCATAGACTGCTTTGTCCATTTCAATGCATTTTTTTTGGTTAATGACATATTGTTAATTAGTAATATTTACTTGATGTGTTCACAAACCTGTATGATATGTTTTGTTGTAGCTGAATACTAATTCCAGTCTTTTCAATATTGCAGTCTACCCACATTGCTCGAGCCAGCTTCCAGGTTGATGCTTTTGGATCATCTTTCATCCTAGATGTGACGCTAAACCAGTAAGTAATGACTGTATCTTACTCTACATTTGTTCAAGACTCGGTGCCAGTGAAATATCATTTTTCAATGGGGGCTTTAGTGGCTGTATTATAGCACAAATGCTATTTCTAGGTATTCAGTTCATCTGTAGTAGTGTATTTTAAGTTCTTTTGCTATTTTCTCAAGTACTGTTGTAGGCTTTGATATTCCCATTGTTACTACTTAGTAGCTATTGCAGTGTAACTAACGTTTTAGCGTTATAATTTCATTTGCCGTCTTTCAGTTTACCATAAAGGCAAATTACTATACTCATGCAGAGCCTCCTTGGATATTAAAAGATGGAGTTGCTGAAAGCTGGTAGCTGTTAGCATTTTAATAACCAAGTGTAAAGTACTTGAGATACAGCAATTACACTACAGCTAATCCTCAAAAAAGAATGAGATGGATAGTTGGGAATGAAGTTTCTCTGGATGCATTTACAGTCGTTTGGGAACAGAGGAGCATTGTAAGGCAGTAGCACACTGTGAACTTCAGTCTATGAGGAAAGATTGAACAATAGTAAACTTAAAGTGAAATCTGGTATGCGTCTTTCAGTAATGAGTTTTTGAAGTAGCTTTTTAGCACAGCTGTTTTAAAATAGGAGTTGCTTTGCTTTTCTGCTCTGAAGTGAAAAGAGAATAAATAATATTGTAAATAGAAATGCTTTGTTAAGTAATTCAGCTCCTAATAATGGAACACAATATTGCGTGGTTCGGTGTAAGAGACAAACTGCTCAATAAGTTTTTCTGCTATAAAGATGAACCGTTCAGGTTGCAATGGGAGCCACTGAAATTTCAGGTTTTTTTCACTTGTAAACACATTTTAAACAATGGCAATTTCTTTATGTGCACTGACATGAGTTAAAAAACATGTGAATCCTTGCTGGTTACAGGTGGCAGAGACACCGCGCTGCTGGAAGGAGAGGGAAAGAGGGTGGCTTAGAAGTATGATTTTATAACAAATGCATTTTAAAAGAATTCTAGAGGAAGAATTTCCTGCTTAAAATCACCAAGTCCACAACATTGAAGTGTTTGTTGGAAACAGCATTTTTATGTACATATTTATACCTTACTGAGAGTAGGTTGCACAAACCTGTTTTTATTTAGGGTGGCAGATTAATGGTGTGGTCACAGTTAGTTTCTGAAAGGTCAGGATTTTCCTTGTAGTATGAATTTCAGGTCATCTTAATAAAAGTAAACACATTTACTAATGGTATATGAAAAGACAAGTTAAGTATGTGATTTTATGAACTGCAACGGTTCTCTGTAGGTGGATTTTTTGTTTATGCACATGTACATATGCACATAACCACAGACACACAAACACGTTTAAAATTTAATTTGTTTTGACCTGGATCCTGTTTTTATGTCATTCTTCTGTTGTCTTTAATGATATTAGGCCAGTATTTGTATCAGTAAGACTGTCAAAATGTGTCCTTACTGTTCTTAAGAGTGCTAGAATCCAACTTAAATATGAACTTTTCCTGAGGAGCTATGCTTTTTATAATGTGAAAAAAGTCCTGTCACAAATTGTGCAAAATGAAAACAAGAAGGCTGTAAGGAAATTAAGATGTTTGGCTTCTATAATGATATTTAAATCAACATTTAAACTGCTTCTGAAATAGCATTTGCAGATCATCAAATAAAAAGAGGGCCAAGTATACTGGAGCAACGTTTAAAATGTATTTTTAATTATTATTCCTGTGAACAAATCTGTTCTATTCAGAAGACTGTATATATTTTTATTCTCTTCTAATTCTTACTCTCCATATTATATTCTGTATGCATTTTCTAAGGTTCCTGAGAGAAAAGCAGTGATTTTTCTGAGGAGTGGTTTGCAAATTTAGCCCACAGTAGCTTTATAATTGAAAAGTAGTTGAATGCTTGAAAGGAGCAAGGTTCAAGATTCTAGTTTTCCTCTGGAAAAAATATCAGCTTAGTATTTATAACTGAACCTCTGCTAATATCAAAAGCATGCTGAAGCAGGCCTCTGTGGTAAAATTAGCTCTTATGCATAATGTACATTTGAGGAATGTTAAAGGAAGTATGGGGGACAGAGAGGGGAAGAAATAACTTAAAATACATAGGTTGTCAGAAAGTATGGACTCTCCCTGCCTTTGTCAGTCTCCTTTCTTGCAGCCTCCCTGTTGTTTAAAGGTTGGTGTGTATGGCTCGTACATCTGAATATATCTGAGCATCATCTCTAGTTCCAGTGTCAGTGGTGGGCAGTCACAGTGAAAGTGTGCATTCTTCCGTATGGTTCCCCAATTTATGGAGGAAAAAAGTTCAAAATGAAAACTATAGTAGCAAACAGAGAGCTTTAAAAAAATCAGAAACTAAAATATATCCCTGCTCCCTAATGTCTGTCTGTAAATAGATTTTCTTTGTTTGCTGCTTTCTTTGTGGGCATTATTTTCTCTGTTCTCTTCAAATCCATCTTTTTATCTGACAGTCAGTTGCTCTGTTTCCTCTGCTGCAATTGCCTGTGCTTTGTTATACATCCCCCTGTTATGTACCCGTTTGTATTTCATATTCTGTTGTGTTTGTATATTTTCCATATCTTTTCTTACTTTGTTCTCCAAAGACTCACACATTTCTTTCTTTTCTTTTTCCATCAGGAATAATTGTCCCCTCTGCCATTGTGATAGATACCACACAACTTCCTTGTTTTTCTCTCAACATTTTTCCTGACAACTTTTTGTACACCAACAGTTGAGGCTGGCAGAAATGTTTATGGTCTCCTACTTGTCTCTCTTCCCCCATTGTCTGATACCCTCTGTTTTATCTCTTCAGTTCGCCAAAGGAGATGCTACTATTGAATCTGGGTGTTAGTTGAAGGAATTTTCCTTTCCTAGTCCCTTCCTCTGCCACCTCTCACAACAGTGGCCTGTCACCAAAGGCTGATCTCTGCAATGAAACAGGCTGGGAAGATACAGGAGGTGGGCAGGGAAATCAAAAAGCAGAGCTTACGCTGACTTTTCAGACATGAGGAGAAATGAGGCCCGGGATGGGATGTTCTGCCAGTCCTGGATGCAAGTGAGAGGAACGAAAGATAATTTTCTAGCTGGCATTACAGTGTGGCAGTTTAACATTGAAATCTGCATACTTTCTTCTTGCTCATTTTGGATCTCAACCAGTTTTGAACGTGATGTTCACATTAAATGCAGATGTGAGATACACTGAAACATTACCTTGAATGATACTTATAAAAAAAAAAAAAAGCTGATATAATTACAATGTAGTTTCCTTTTTTCCCGTGGTGGTATTTTCTCCACATACATCACCATTCTTTCTCTTCCCTTTTTCCCCTGAGTTGCCATAGTGTCTCTACAATAAGCTTTTTTTAAGATACAGTGTTTCTTTTTTTAACTTTTTTTGCCTGTTCAACGGCCTGAAGTACTTACAAAGGAGCTTTCAGATCGAATCAGCTGTGTTTTTAAAAGGTTCAATACCATAGGCAAAGGTTAGGGATGCATTAGTTGCATCGGTGTGTTTATGAATCCATTGCCTCGGTATCCTTACGCGTTCAGAACTGCATCTAATGGAGCTGTTTTCTGTGGCCACCTTAGTTAATGCCGCCTTCAGCATTAGCAAACCTGGGGCCTGACCACCGGGCCACGCAGGCGGGTGCTGCTCGCAGCCTTCCCTCCTTCAGCACGCGTCCAGCTCTGGCCATCGACCCAGAACTGTGCAGGAGTTGCATAGCAATTAAGTGTGCTTATTTATCTAATTTTTTAATTCCTTCCCCTTGAAGTTTTTAATACTGTGATAGCATCTGTGGTTCAGCAAATGGCTATTTCTTTTTTCATGCAGAATATTTCTCTTAAATGTAGCCATGTGACCATTTACACTCTCATCTTGGGTTGTAATTACACGATTAAACAGCAGAGCTCACTAGGAAATGGGGCTTGTCTCTGAAAGCCTCTTTGAGGCCCTTTTGGTCCTGTGGACCATGTGGATCTGTCTGAGGGGACCTGGGCCAGGGCATGTCCGTCTGCTTGTGAAGTAGCAGAGACCTAATGGCAGAATGGGCCAAAGCAAGCTGTGATCACGGGGTTGGATTGGGAAACATCACGCTACAAGTTTGTTAATCAGAAAAACTGCAGTATCTGTGCTTGTCTGGAGTGTGGACAGGCCCTGGCACAGGGTGACCACCCCAGGTTCGCTTCGTGGTAACCACGACAGGCAAGAAAGATGATCATGGTCCTTCCTTGCTGCAGCATCATCCTTCATACAAGAGCTCTGGTGTCTCCTGTCACGGAGACAGGCAGAGAATGTTTCTAGAGTCTGAGTCTGAATTGTCGCTACTTATGAGGTGCAGCGTGCACACCACGTGCTCTGCCGAGGGGACTCAGAAGGCCCCCTGGAGCGTCTGGCCACCTGCACGTGCTCCAGCTCCTTGTGCTACAACAAGGAGAAGAGCCCTCCCCGATCATGTCTTTTTTTGTAAAAGTGAACAGATCCATAGCATGAGATCCTCCGGTTTGTGGTGATGGGGAAATGCTTTGAAGAGTCATGAGCATAACTAAGGATTTCAAGCTTACATTCAGCATTTCAGGACTGCTGTGTCCTTCCAACTGACACTCGCTCACTAGGATGGAGCATAATCGCCACCTGCTTTCTCTTCTTGCAACACAAATTTAATTCCTGTGGTCCATGTGTGGAAAATAATCTATAAAGAAGTAGTAGGCTGGGCGAGACGTGTTCAGAAACCTTACCCTTTTTAGGAAGCTCGCACATCTTCTGTTGCCGTCGAGCGCTTGACTGTGTCCCAGAGGAGTACCAACACTGTGTATAAATCGATGGTCACGATGATCAACGACATTCAGAAGGCTGAAAGATTTCAAATGAGGCAATTTTTATAAACTCTACAATCACTCTATTCTCTATGTGGAAAATGAATGTCCTTTTCTCTTAGTTTGTCAAAAGGTAGGCAAAACCAAAGAAGCTTCTTCAGAAAATAGATAGGTATTTTGTCTATT